GCTCCCGCTCGCCGCCGCCGGGATCGCCGTGGGCTCTTCCTCGCGCTCAGAGCCGAGGCCGCAGCCTGCGCGGGAAGCCTGATTATGAAAGGGAAAGTGGCCCCTTCACCTCTCCGCTCCGAGGCCGGAGCTTTTGTTTGGGAAGAAGTGCAAACGGCCTTATCCACTCCCCCACCTCCCGGGCAGAAGGAAATGAGAGCCTGGCTTGGAGAAGCTGTGAAGGCACCTGGGTGGCTCTTGCGCTTCGTTCTCTTTCTCCCCATCCCGAAGTTGCAAGCTTTGGGCAGGAAAGTCGTGCCGCCGCCATTGTCGCGGCTGTTCAGGGGTAGGGGAGGCGGCCGCCGCTGCTTATGTAAGTTTGGCTTTGCCGGAGCCCCCGCTCCGCGTTCTGCGAGGGCGCCTCCGCGCGCCTGCGGCGTGGAGAACCGTAGTAAAGGGGCAGCTTTGTAATGGAGGTGTAGCTGGGCTTCGGCCTTTCACCCCCTACACGCATACTGGCAATGGGTATCTTCCAGTTTGACTCACCTGAACTTAGCAATTGAAACATCTCCATAGAAAAAAGTGGGCCTCAGAGACCTCAAAAGAGACTGGAGGCCAAATAACACCCTAGCTAAAAAGGGGAATAAAAATCAGCACACGGATGTATACGGCCACTCCTCTCCCTACCTAGTCCGTGCACTTTTATCCCACGAGCCATGGATACAGTTACTGGCAGCAATAGGAAGTGACCCGGTAGGAAGTTTGGCCCGGCTGCTTTCTTTCGGCGGTGACTAAAGACCAGGTTCCATTTAGGCAACAAAGTTGGAAGCATACCTAGAACTAATTTTGCCTAACCCTCACACTTTGCAGATAAGAACCCTCCCCCCGTGCTGCTTCAGGCAGCTGATTGCTGCTTTTGCTTTTCTGGAGAGGGGACTTTTTGATAGTTGTGGATTTGGGTCTCTTGTGTCATGTTTTGCCCCCAGTTTTGGAGTAAGACTATTGCAGCCCAGTCCCTTGGTCCTACCATACTAAAGTTTGTATTTGTGTGATCGCTGTTTAGTAGAAGAAACTTTTTTTTTTAGTTTTCAGGATATTGGTCTGCAGGATGGAGCTCCTCTGGTAAGAGTTAAAACTCAAAAAGCTAGAATTCTTTGAGCTTCTCAGTAGGGATACAGGTGAAAACACCTGGATTTCTCAAATGCAGGTTTAAAGACCAGTGTAGCTTAAATGATGTGTACTACATTGCACAGAAGTGTGGAAAGAAATAACCAGCTACTGTTCCCTCTCCTCCGATGTTAGCTGTTGGGTATGTGAACTATAACTTTCTCTGTATTTATAAATGAGTATATATATATATATATATATATATATATATACACACACTCACTCACTCACTCTATAGGAGCCTAGAGAAAAATGTGGAGGGCCACACACCTAGCAGGAAATGGTGGGGGTAGGGGGCACTTTCTGGCTTTTTCTGATATCTGTGTAGCTATCAATGTCTACCCATGGGCTTTGTGAGGAGAAATTCTTTAGTGGCTCTCCAGGGCATCCTCTGATTTCCTGCACCCCGCCCCTCAACACTCCAAGTGCTGCAGCCCTTACCTGTTCTCCTTCATGTCTGCTCAGAGCTGGAACTGATGCTGCCGGCCACCCTCCTCTCTGTTCCCAACCTGAAAATGGGTACATGTGCAAGTGGCAGGATAAGAAAGTAAAGCTTATTTTTTTAAAAACATTCTTGTTTAGAATTTGGGATAGAGGAAGATCCTGCCTTACTCTCATGTGTCCTTTTCTCCTATAGGATTGGCGTGCCCCCGATCAGTTATTCTGATCTGAAGAATTTGGTGTTTCAAGCATTAAGACAATAGCCTGAGTTGTTCATGGTAACTATAACTTTGGATATTAAATCTTGAAAATATGGTTTGGTATTTGCTTTAAAAAATAAGTATGTATACACACATATCAATTATGTATTAGTACTTCTGTTTCTCTGGGGGAAATGTGTGTTTTCCTCATTTATACTTGTTGAATGAAAGGCAAACAATGTTTTTGAGAAGAAAACATAGAATACATTATTTTAAAAAGATCAGTTTCTCTAACATTGTGACAGATGTCTTTTGTGCCAGTTTTAAATTCCCTTTGCTTGTAAAATTCTTGCAGCACTTGTCAAGTACATCCAATCTTGATGACATTTTTGTCTGGATGGCAGATAGATTGGCATCTAGAGGGAATGAAACTGCACATCTCCTATCTTCCCAAATGTCATCTGATTCTTTGAGGGTCATATTAAATTTTAACCATCATTCAGAAGTGGCCCCAAACTGGTGTGGAAAAGCTAGAAGACAACACCAAGTGGAATATTTTGGCAATGATATCTCTTTCTAGTTCTGCAACAGTGACTTCTTCTGTCTAGGAAGTAGAGCACTGAGCTCTGTTAGTTATGTTACTGAATCTTTCTCTATATGAAATTAGAGTAGATGGAACAGGCAGGACTAGTGGATGCTTGCCTCAGAACTATTTCTTAAACCTCAAAACGGAATTACTTGTCATTACCTCTACTTGTCAGGAAGTGCTGGTTTTGGAGCTGGAGTGCCTGCATTTGAGTGCCAGCTCTTCACTAAGTAACTAGAATATTGGGCAGGTTCCCAACCTCATCTGTGAAATGGAAGTAGTAATACCTAGTTCATAGGTTTAGTTGATCATTACATTTGTGAAGACATGTAAAGCACATAGAGCAATAATACCTGGTATGTATTATGTGCTTGTAAAAGTTGGCTATCATTTTAAGTAGGCAAATACTTAGTAAACTGAAGATATATAGAAATAACAATATGGAAATCCCTAAGTCGGGATGTCTTTTCTACTTATATTCTTGAACCACTCTTAATGACTAAAAATGGATTTGAAAATGAAAATCTACTTGTGTTTTCTATATGGAAAAGTGTTTTTCATAATTATCAAACTTTCTTTTTAAAACTTTTTTGTAGGAGTTTTTCATCAGTATGTCTGAAACCATTAAATATAATGATGATGATCATAAAACTCTGTTTCTGAAAACACTAAACGAACAACGCCTGGAAGGGGAATTTTGTGATATTGCTATTGTGGTTGAAGATGTGAAATTCAGAGCACACAGATGTGTTCTTGCCGCCTGCAGCACCTACTTTAAAAAGCTTTTTAAGAAGCTTGAGGTTGATAGCTCTTCAGTAATAGAAATAGATTTTCTTCGTTCTGATATATTTGAAGAGGTCCTGAACTACATGTACACAGCAAAGATTTCCGTGAAAAAAGAAGATGTTAACTTAATGATGTCATCGGGTCAGATTCTTGGTATCCGATTTTTGGATAAACTCTGTTCTCAGAAGCGTGATGTATCTAGTCCTGATGAAAATAATGGCCAGTCAAAAACTAAATATTGCCTCAAAATAAATCGCCCCATTGGAGATGCTGCTGACACTCAGGACGATGATGTGGAAGAAATTGGAGATCAAGATGACAGTCCATCTGATGACACTGTTGAAGGCACCCCGCCGAGTCAGGAGGATGGGAAGTCGCCTACAACTACGCTCAGGGTTCAGGAAGCGATCCTGAAAGAGCTGGGGAGTGAGGAAGTTCGAAAAGTAAATTGCTATGGCCAGGAAGTAGAATCCATGGAGACCCCAGAATCGAAAGATTTGGGGTCCCAGACCCCTCAAGCCTTAACATTTAATGATGGAATGAGTGAAGTGAAAGACGAACAGACACCAGGCTGGACAACCGCTGCCAGTGACATGAAGTTTGAGTATTTGCTTTATGGCCACCATCGGGAGCAGATCGCCTGTCAGGCATGTGGCAAGACATTTTCTGATGAAGGCAGATTAAGGAAGCATGAAAAACTCCACACAGCAGACAGGCCATTTGTTTGCGAAATGTGTACAAAAGGTTTTACCACACAAGCCCACCTGAAAGAACACCTAAAAATCCACACTGGATATAAGCCCTACAGTTGTGAGGTGTGTGGAAAATCATTTATTCGCGCCCCAGACCTAAAGAAGCATGAGAGAGTTCACAGTAATGAAAGACCGTTTGCATGCCATATGTGTGACAAAGCCTTCAAACACAAGTCCCACCTCAAAGATCATGAACGAAGACATAGAGGGGAAAAGCCTTTTGTGTGTGGCTCATGCACCAAGGCGTTTGCCAAGGCATCTGATCTGAAAAGGCACGAGAACAATATGCACAGTGAAAGGAAGCAGGTTACCCCCAGTGCCATCCAGAGCGAGACAGAACAGTTGCAGGCAGCAGCGATGGCCGCCGAAGCGGAGCAGCAGTTGGAAACAATAGCCTGTAGCTAGAGGTGATGGGACACGAACACTTTGCCTGAGCCGCGGAGACTGAGATTGCGTTGTTCATAATAAATGAACACAGTCACTGTATTTTTAATTTTTTGTGTGTGAAAACTTACGGAGCATTGTACTCACTGGACCTAAGGCAGTGCCTGGTTAGGTATTTTTAAAACTTTTCAAGGAAATAACGTTCCTTGGTTCTGACCAAACAGTTTCACTGTCCTGTCTGGTGTCTAGTATTAATGTTGCCAGTGAGCCCTGCCAGTTCTCTTTTTTTATGGTTTTAATTTGTGGACTCCTGTGTCCAGTTCAGAAGTGAGAGACTTCTATTCCATTTTTAATTCCTCTTTGCACTTGCTGCGCTGGTGAATGCACTGCACAGAGTGATAATTGAGTAAATTGATTTCCTAATCACAATTATATGTGACTTATAGTCAAAACAGCATTTTTAATAACTTAATAAAAGTACTTCATGTGGACGCAGAAAATATTGGTGGTTGACCAAGAACACTGCGCATATATGAAAACAAGGCCTAGAAATGTAGAATGGTCTTAGATTTGTATTTGATTTGTTAATTTTCTATCACTGTTTTTTCACAGTTTTTGTGGGCAAATAATGGTTGCTTTGCTGAAGTATTTCTTCATCCATTTTGATTGCCCATACCTACCCCAAAGATGTGGTAACAAGTCCTGAAGGCTGAGCAGATCCACAGGGATATTGGTGATCTGGTGGCCAAGTTCCTTCATTCCTCTTATTTGGGGCATTGCCACTCTGAAATAGATGGGGTCTGTGGAGTGGACCAGGGGTGAGAGGATTAGAAAAGGGCGAATAGGAACCTGGTTCTCAAAAAGAAGGTTTTCACATTTGCAATAATTCCAAGATTTCCTAGATCAAAGTAATTCTTAATTGATTTTGAAATTAGGACAAGAACAGGTATGCCTCTTCAGATACATTTGTGTAACAGAATGTTAACAAGCTTTTGGGCTCTCTGTAGCACATGATTTATCCATAAAGGAGATGCAATACCGTTACTTAAATTAATACATCTAAAATATTTTAAGTGTGTAAATAGTATAGAAGTGTTGGTCTTATGTATTTCAAGGAAAAGTAGACAGCTGCACCTTTTTTTTTGCACATTGGATTAAAATAACTTCCATCAGCAAGAAACATCAGTCTGTTGTTAACCAATATTAAAGAGTGTCAGACCAAATGTTTATGTTTTTGAAGTATATTTCATCACTGGCTACAGTTTTAAGTAGAGTTGATTGCCTTTTCATAGCTGTAACAATTATAAATGCTGTTCCAATTTTGGTGTATGAAAATTTTTTAAACCATTTATTTGGGAATATATTGAAATACCAACTACAGTTTGAATTATGTTCTATAATAAAGCATTAGTCAGTTATTTTAGAATGTACAGTTTTAGAAAGATGTTGACTTAAAATTTATTTTTGCTAGGTTTTTTTTTTTTTAAGAGACATTAAAAATAATTGCATTTCATAGCTTGTTGCATTAACACCTGTAATTTACACTGTGGGAGAAGTTTTATTTTTTAAATGGTGTATATGTTATGCCCAAGATTGTAGGATGAAGATGCTACCTTTTAAGAAACTTATTTATTGGTGAAATGTTTAATTTAGTTTAAAATTAATTTAATTTCTTTTCTTAAAAGTTGTTTTTCCATTCTAAAGTAGTCCTGTCACTGTTTCTATGCTATTAGTAGAAGGGAAACTGATTGAAGTTCCTAGGCTGTTTTAACCAAAGCAAAAGAAAAATAATTTAACATTTGGTTGATACTTTGACAAACCATTTTTGGGTCTTCATTTTAGTATATATAAGAAAATATACTTATATCATTCCTGTTTTCATTTTTTCACAGCAAGCTTTCACACATCCAGTTTTCTACCAAAGTGCATTTTCTATACTATCTTTCATCATGGTTTTTCAGAGGTGCAAGTTATGTGGTTTTAACCCTCATTGAAACCACATAATCACAGTGGTACCCCCAAAAAGAAAGCTTGATTTTTCAGCCCTTTATTTGTATTATGTAAATATTTATCATTTGTCCTATTTTGCATGTGAAATATATTTGTGTTGCAGTTTCTACCACTGGTACTGGGTTCATATGTGTGTTAGGGTGCTTGTCTTCTTGGTGGCAGCAAAGTCATGACATAGCAGCTTCCCTGTCTGCTGGTCATTGAGACTACCTCTCTCCTCACTCAGCTGGCTTTAATAGTCCCCTGGATGGTGACACACACCTATCATGTTAGACAGTTCAAGGGTAAATCCAATCACAGGGGGTTAATTTTGAAGTGTCCTTACACTGAATCTGTCATGTGAGGGGAAGGAAATTCTAAATGTCAATGTTACTATCTTTTGCATTATTTAAAAGTCTCCTACTTTTTTCTGTTTGAACAAAAAATATCTACAAACTTGATTTTACCTTTCATGCCAACTTGTATTGTATTGGCAATGATTGGGGAAGATGATTTTAGGAAGTCTAAACTTTAGGTCATTTACCTGCTGATTAACTTGATCACAAATTTAAAATTGTTACAAGTTACAGAGGTCACCATCAAGTGAGCCTCATACTAATAAATTCCTCCTATTTTGTTGAGAGAGAGAAAAAGATTGAGGTGAAGGAGAATGATGCAAATTTATGTAGTTTTGATTTAATGGATTATGTTGTGTTAGGTTATCTGTAGCTCAGGTATTGGGACCTGGAACACATTTTCCTGAGTAACGCTGTTAGTGGTGATCAGTCCCTGGAGCAGCTGTAAAAGTCTGTGTACGTGCAACAGAATTAGGGGAAGGGTTATAGCCTTGAGTTCTGAGTCGTGAGAGTTAAGGAGGTGAGGCTTCCAGGAAAGACTGGAGAGCTGTCCCTTTTCTCTGCACTTACCTGTAATATCTACCTCCCTTTCTCCATTACCTAAGCCCACCACCTTCCCACACCCCACAAATATATGAGAGAAGTAAAGCATCAGATCGGAGGCAAGGGAGCCCTGACAACCATCACAGTGAGAGATGAGGGTCTAAATTTACTGTGATGCTTCCTTCTAACACAACTGAAATCAGTGAGCACTTTCAGTGATGGGGAGCGGGGAGCTTACCTCCCTACTGTTCCACACTCCCATCTTGAGGGCTCTCACTGCTCCCTATTCCTTGAGTTCTGTCTCCATTTTTGCATACCCCCTTGTAACTGGGAACTTTCCCCCCTTAGAACTATTCAAAACAAACGTAATCCTGCATCTACTTGATAACACTTCAGATATGTGAAGATAGCCTGCAGTTTTGTTTATTCAGCATGTATTGAGGCTGGATCCCAGAGACACAAAGGCAAAAGGGATTTGGATCCAACTAGCAAGAGTATATTCCCTTTCCCAGTCTTGTTTTAAGCATTATTTTTTAAAATGAGGGTGGCATTTGCCCATCACCTGTTATTCGTGATTCCTTAAAGATCACCATACTTATTTTATCTTAAGGTCCCTGAATGTAATGTAGCTGGATTGTGGCATTTCAGCATTTATGTGATTCCATGATTTCTTCAAGAGATATTCCCAATTATCAGTATTCATGTAAATGTTTTCAGTATAACTAGGGGGAAGCATGGGTTAGTGGAAAGACTTCTGTAGTCAATTTGAATTGGATCCTGCTTCTGTTAATTAGTTAATGTATAAATTTAGGCAAGTTCTTTACTGCCCTGAGCCTTGGTTTTATCATTTTTAGAATAGTGATTGGGATTTCTACCTCATGGTCTGCTGTGAAGATTAAATGTGATAACCAGTGCAAAATACTTAGCCCAGCACCCACTGCTTTTAAGGTGCACCATAAATGTTTCCTTCTTAAACAGCATTCTCAATAGAGAAGCAGAAGTCAAACCCAAGTTCTCTTGACTTTGACATGTCAGTTTTACAAAGAGAGTTTTTTTAAAAATCATCACCCAAGGATATATTTTTATTGATTTTTTAGAGAGAGGAAGGGAGAGAAAGAGAAACATTGATGTGAGAGAGAAGCATCAATCAGTTGGCTCCCTTACACACCCGGACCAGAATTGAACCCACAACCAAGGATGTGCCCTGACCGGGAATAGAACCTGCAACCTTTTGGTATATGGGGCGATGCTTCAACCAACTGAGCCACCTGGCTAGGGCTCAAGTGACCTTTTTGAATGTATACTGAGAAAACATTTGTTAATATCATTTCCGTAGAATGATTCTCATGTTTTCTCATTGATAAATTTGGAAAGAGGAATATAATGAGACTATGATTTGTTTCTTTGAAATAATAGATCCTGGCATCAAGAAAGGACACTGATGCAAAGAAAATTAGACAAGTAAAAAAAACAAGCTGGCCTTCCAGCAGCTTTGGACGAGGTATATTAATAACTTGGAAGGTTTTAGGGGAGGGAACTTAATGAGCAATACGGGTATGTTCAGCCACAGCTCCGAAATGAGAATTGAGAGTTAGCAGGTATTCCCTAAGAGCCCCCAAACTTGACATTTGTTGAATATTTACCAGGTGTCAGGCACTATATACACGATCTCTTCGTATGCTTTGTGACAACTCTGAGGCACACGTTATTACAGAGTTTAGGAGATGCATGCCTGTGGGGGAAGAATGGGGTTGGAGGAGGCACTTGCATGCTTCTGGAAGGGAAAGTACACTAGCCTGACTCAAAGCTAGTCAATCTTTTTTCTGCTGATGGAAAGTCTTGTCTTCAATTTATACAAAACATGCCATCTGGGAAGTGCAATAGAATGAGGTATGCCTGTATGTACCACAACTTCTTTATTCATTTATCCATGGGTGGACACTTAGGTTGTTTCCATGTCTTGACTATTGTAAATAATGCTGCAATGAACATAGGTAGGGCTGCAGATATCTTTTTAAGTCAGTAGTTTTGTTTCCTTTGGATACATTCCCAGAAGTAGAATTGCTAGATCATATGATAGTTCTATTTTTAATTTTTTGAGGAACCTAACAGTGCATGGGTTTTCTCCATATCAGTGACAGCATTTGTTATCTCTTGTCTTGTTGATGGCCATTCTAACAGACTTCAGGTGATATCTCATTGTGGTTTTAATTTACATTTTCCTAATAACTTGATTAGCATCTTTTCATATATCTGTTGGCTATTTGTATAACTTTGGGAAAATGTCTATTCAGGTCCTTTGTCTATTTTTTAATTGGCAAATAATTTGTTTTAAAGGGGGGCTTGTACTACATGGTCTTTAAGGTTATTTCAGGATTCAAGTCTATTTTATAATTATTTAAGTAGTTCGGATAGTATCCTCCGAACATTTTTAATGTGATTAATTGAAATTTGCTTGCCTTCTAACTCCAAATGGGCACCAAAGGTAATCACAAGATCCAGGTTCCTCCATACCTATAAGAGGTAGTAGGAGAGGGGGGTTTGGAAGCTGGTGACCATCTCTCACATTTGTTTCACTGTTAAAAATGAACAGAATGTGCATATGTCCACCCAAACTGTCACAGCTCCTAGCAAAATAATTTAAACCACACTTGATGTAATGCAACTAAACCTGGGCTTTCCTGCTTGTTTTAAGAACATTCTCCGACTTTGGAGATGCATCTAACAGGAAAATCATACTTTAAAGTATTCCTGGATCCCCTGCTGTCTTTTTTTCTTGGTTCATTCTTGCTTTGGAGGATGAGCACATCCTCAACCTGAGGAGTGAGTAGAAGCTGGACTTTTTGAGATCCATTTCACCTTCATATAAACTTATTGCTGACAGGGGGGTTGCCTTATAGATCAGAAACTAATCTGTGAGGAAGCGAGTGACTTGGTGTGTCTGCAGTTAGCTTTCAGAACAAACTTTCAGTGGCATCTGGGCTGAAAGATTAGCGTTGGAAGCTGAAAGGTGGTTGAAGATTTAGAGCCTAGGCCCCCAATGTGTTTGCATTTCAAAGGGGGATGACCTGCAGCGCCTACAGCCAGTCATTTACACTCTAAAGGATTGTTAATGCCAAGGGGGCAAAAGTTTCTGTGCTGCTCCTGAGGGGGAAGGGACGGACCTCCAATGTGCAGGGTGACATATGGCTGTCGTGTCACCTATAGGGTGCTGTGATTGAGGAACTGGTGCAGTTATTGCTCTAAGTAATAACTTTGGTTTCTGCCACAAAACTCTCACCTCTGCTTTCAGGGTAAAAAGGTCTTTTGGCCAACTGTTTGTCTTTGGAGAAATGTCTACTTAGGTCCTCTGCCCATTTATGATTAAATTGTTTGGTTTTTTGATATTGAGTTGTATGAGTTATTTATATATTTTGTATATTACCCTTTTATCAGATATATCACTTGTAAATATCTTTTCCCATTCAGTAGGTTGCCTTTTCCTTTTGTTGATGGTTTTCTTCATGGTGTAAATGCATTTTAGAAACTGCCAACTTGTTTTCTATAATGGTTGTCGCACTTTAAATTCCCACCAGCATTGTATGAAGATTCTAATTGTTTCACATTCTTGCCAACACTTGGTATGGTTCTTTTTTCAATTTTAGCCATTCTGGTAGGTGTGTAGTAGTATCCCGTTGTGGTTTTAAATTTGAGTTCCCTAATGACTAATGATTTTGATCATCTTTTTATGTGCTTTTTGGCTATGCGTTTTCCTTCCTTGGTAAAAAGTCTGTACAAATCTGTTCAGTTTTTTAATTAAGTTGTCTGTCTTACTTAGTTTTAAGAGTTCTTTATGTATGCCAGATACAAGTTGTTGTTTTTTTGGTCCGAATCTCGTCTCATCCTAGGACTCCAGTCACACATGTGCAAATCTGCTTGACGTTTCACAGATCATTTATTTTCTGTCTTCTTCCCTTTTATCCCTTTGGTTTCATTTTGTGTAGTTTCTATTACTCTGTCATCCTCAAGTTCACTCATCTTTTTCCTGTAGTGCCTAATTTACCAGTAATCCCATTCAGTGCAATTTTCATCTCAGATATTGCAATTTTCATCTCTAGAAATTAGATTGTTT